CAGTGCATGAATTTGTGTAGTTGTACTTAATATTCAGTGCCTGTGTAAGTATAAAGTTTTTATTAATAGATGGTTGATTTGCAGTAACAATACACCTGGAACCTAAATAATATTCTGTGAAACTCATCCTGTTGCAGGTCCCGGTGCTCCGTTGCTGGGAATGTGCTGCCCTGTAGCAAATACAGTGATATTTTTCTCTGTGACTGAGTCCTGAGAAACAGTCCTGGGTGGTTTGTGGAAGACATGGATTGAAATGATTTGGGTTAATAATTCCCCCCTCAGCACTGGGAGGCACAAGGGTGGTGAGATGCTCACTGGGGTAAGCCGTGCGTGCCCTGTGCCAAGCCAGGGCTCCCCTTGAACAGATGTGTGTTTAACTGCAGCATAGCTGTGCTTTTCCAAGAGGGGAAATCCATGGGGGGAGTCTTTCAGTAATTATTTTGTTACTGCTCCATAATCTCTCCCTTCTCTATTCACATCACTGTTCCTGTGTGTTGTCTGGGTTGTGGAGATAGATTGGTATTTGCTGTGTAGTGTGGACAAAAGTTTTTAAAGGGGAACAGAGGCTCTCCAGTAAAAAAATATCTCGTATAGAGGGATTGATAATCGTATTAGCTGGAGGTAATATTGGAAAAGAGGCTTTCTGAAGGTCTTTGTGCTAAAATATTGCACGCTGGCTCAGGAGCAGATGGCAGCCTTCTGAGAGAAAGCCTAATCAGGTTACTCTGATTTTCATTTTATATTTTTATAACCCAGTATTATCTATTTTTCATGTAATCTGGTAGACTAATAACATAACAAATATTTAACTTCTGGGAATTATCCACTTGTAGAGTAGATTTTGGTATTTCACATAACAAACATTATAAACTGAAATCCACCTATTTTAAGATACTGAAGGGTTCATTTCCAGCATTTAATAAATGACAGAGTTTTCACTGTGGGGGAAAAAAATTAGTTTAACTCCAAAGCCTTTGTCTTTAAGACCATAATAATGGTATCCCTTTTGGAAAATTCTCTTTACTTCTAAAGACTCAATTTGTGTTCAATTGATTTTAACAATTCTCATAAGCTTTAGCTTTGCATCAGAGTTTTGGACAATTTGGAAGGGAGCAATTAAAAATCTCAGAATGTATAGAATCATAAAATGGTTTGGGTTGGAAGGCACCTTAAAGATCATCCAGTTCCAACCCCTGTGCTCTGGGCAGGGACTCCTTCCACTAGACCAGGTATCCAGTTCAGGCTAAATTCTGGCTGCAGCGAATGGAAGTGATGGGAACCTCAGGGGTGTTGTTTCTGTGTTTAGATACTCAGAAGAATGGGGGATGTGCTGACTTGTCCCCATCACTGCTGCCTTTTCCCATCCCATCAGCCCCAAGCCTTTGGTTGGGCAGCATCTCCTGAGCACAGCTCGTGGTTTCCAAGGCCCCACTCGCCTTCCCTTTGAGGTCAGTCTGGTTTAGCCTCTGTCTGCTTTTGTGCTGAAGGTGTCACTGAGCTTCTTTTGGACATGATAACACTGGATCCACTGTTCCAACCCCCTCCCACCCACAGCCGTGTCTGCTACTGGTTGTGTTGGCTGCTGTTCCCCAGGAGATTCTGCTGAGCTCCAGAGAAACCTTAAAAATTCTTCTGTTAAAACGTGTGATTTCAAGTGCTTCTTTCCTACACTTAAGAAGTCCCCAAGGATCAGTCTGCTTAGTTTGCTTGCTGGTTGCTCCTGTCTTTGAAAGTATTAGATTAAGTTCGATGCTGCTTTAAAAAAGCAATATTTATATTTTTCATGAATTCTGTGCTGGTTATGAATTACTGACAGGTCCACTCTATCTGCTGCAGTCATCTTCCTCAAATATGCTGGTAAACTGAGCAGCCAGGAATCAGATTTTCCTTGGAACATTAGAGTAGTGCTGTCAGAATTTAGAAGTTATATCAGACAATGAAAACAAACAATAAACCCGGGAGAACACGTTAAGGCAATTTTCAAGAGCTCTGTGTGGCTGTTGTACAGAAAGTTGTTGCAACCCTGGTAAGGGCCAGGACAGGAAGCTTTAGATGGAAACATTGGAATTAATGAGTCCTTAAAATGTGACTAATTGATTTTCCTGATGCACGAGGCTCATGCCTGATCTAAATAAAACTCCCAGACTCCAGAGCCTGTGGGGGCCCCTGGCTGGCTCCATACCTGTCTTTGGTTAATGAAATGGAAACATTCCATTTTTCACAGAACTATTAAGATATCAATAACTCATTTTTGGGTTTTTAATTTAACTTTGACTGTGTAATTGATGAACCCTAAGAGTTGTCTTCAGTAGTTGCATTATCTTCTAACTCTTTTTTCTATACAAATTAATATCAAACTTTTTGCAGTATTTTGAACAAGTAATTTATAATGTTTAGCCCTTCTGCACTGATTTTTTTGGTTCAAGTATACTTGTGTTCGTTAATCTTTATAATACACAAGTTTTTATTGGAGTGGGAGCAAGATGTAACATTTGTGAGTGAAATGTAAGTAAATTTTAATGAAAAAGACCCACTTAATTTTCAACAATTTTCTTAATAAATACATTTTCATTTCCTTTGCTCTTGATTATTATACAATGAGTTTAATGGTTTAAGTGTCAAAATTTCCAGTCAATTCAATGCAGATAGTAACAGCATCCATCTCAGCAGTATCCAAGGATCACCTTTAAAACTTTGGGTGCAACTGGCATCTAAGCAGTCTGAAATATATTTCAGTGTTTTTCAAGAATCTTCCTAATGCTGCCTTCTTTACTCTTTAGAACTAGAGTAGAAGTGAATTTTAATGTAATTGTCTTTTAATATTCCATTATTAGCACTGCATTGGAATTTTATCTTTATTTGTTCTATCAAGTGTCATATTAACTGTATTTTATATTCCCACTCTGTAAATCTATAACAGTTTCTTTGATTAATTTTCTAAATCAATTAAACTACTACTGGCTCACTGAATAAAATAAAAAAAATACTGTGGGTTTTTTTCGTAGGTTTTATAATAAAAACTGTCAATGAAGATACTGTAAACAGGATCTTTAGGTGGTGTGTAATGACTGATTTGAGAGCTGAGAATAAAGCTTTATTTTTTTTTAAATATATTTAAATGTATTGGGATCTGGAGCACAAGTGATGAGGAGCAGCTGAGGGAGCTGGGGGGGCTCAACCTGGAGAAAAGGAGGCTCAGGAGGGACCTTTTTGCTCTCTGCAACTCCCTGACAGGGGAGCAGAGCCAGGTGGGGGTTGAGCTCTTCTAAGTAAGAACAGAGCAAGAGGAAATGGCCTCGAGTTTCACCAGGGGAGGTTTAGATTGGATATGAGGAACAAATTCCTCAGTGAAAGGGTTGTCAAGCCCCGGCACAGCTGCCCAGGGCAGTGGTGGAGTCACCATCCCTGGGGGACCTGGGGACAGGGTTCAGTGGTGGCCTTGGCAGTGCTGAGGGAATGGTTGGGCTTGATGATCTTAAAGTTCTTTTCCAACCTAAGTGGTTCTATAATTCCATGATAGCTTTCCAGAAGTTCAGGGGTCTTTGTGTTCACATCAGAAAATCAAAGTGTAATGAATAAAATACCTGGCTTTGAACAGCTGTGTTCTCACTGTAATTTTTTATGCCTCTCCTACGTATAAAAACTAATATGCTGTACTAGGAACTTATGATTTCCACTGTTGCTTTAGCTGCTTTTTCAAAGCAAAATACTTGTTTATTATTAAGGGTAACCACCCCATGCCAATACATGGAGGTTTTGAGAGGATGAAAACCAGGGGTGTTTACTACTGACAGAGTAGTGTACCAATACTTTGATTTAGCACTGGCTCTTTTTGAGGCCTATTGATGTGTGAATTTGTTTCTTCCAGTATAATAATTTTATATGTTGTTTCAACCTCATGCTCAATGATATGAGTAATGGCACAGCCGAACTCGCTGTGGCTTCTCATCAAGTATTATAGGTGAAGGTGGGGGTTCCTTCCTCCAAGTCTTGCACTCAGATTTCCAAGCTATGCCTGTCCCAGGCTGCAGTAATGTCACATCTTTGCTCCAAAGGCTTTCCCTGGAACTTTACATTTATCTTACGTGGGTTTTGAGCTTCCTGTGTCCTGCCCTGTCAAACCCTTAAAGTTTTATATGTTGTCTCTAGGTTAATCCTTTGTCTTTTATAGACAAAAAAAGAGCATCTAATACATGTGAAATACAAAGTAACGAGGTGGGTACTGCTGTCTATGAGGGAGTTTAGAGACATTTGCTATGTAGCAACCCTAAGAATATACTTGGGTTATAAAATGACCTTTATTGACTCCCTCCGGCCCTCACCAGTTAACTACAGGGTTGTGCTTTCCTAACTGCTTTAGGCTGAATTAAAATTCCTCCCTCCCTCCCTGTCTACACACAGATCATCTCTGTTACAGCCATTAGGCTCTAACTCGCCAATGTTCTTGTCTGTGATGTTGGGATAATTAGCGATGCCATAAATACAGAAAGTTTACTTCTGGAGGTTCTGCTGCCTTTGATTTTTACTTTCCTTTCTCAGTGAACTGTGTGTTATTCCCTAAGTGTCACTCTTTAATACTCTGCCTTTCACCAGTTGAGAAGGTTTTCAATAAAACTGCCTTTGCAGCAGCTGATGCTGGCCAGGACTGTCATCAGCCCACAGTGGGGCAGTTTGCAGGCTGTTGGTCTCTGGTGTCATTTGTTGTTTCTTGTGTAACTTCTTATTGCCTTTTAAACTGTCCTAGTTTCATGTGTTGTAGCTTTCTGCGTGTCACCATAAACATATTATGTGATCTAAACAGAGAAAAGGCCTAGAGGCATCTAAGATTTTTATTTCCTGTAAATGAGTTTGAAATCAGGCTTGTTTTGATTCCACAGCATCTTTATTTAGGTGACCAGTGAACATCATATCAGTCTGTCAAGTCTGAAGTGTTGTATGGTTTTTGCCTGGTGGATAACATCCTTCTGGTATTAATGTGATCTTTTCTCTGTCCTAAACAGAGCCATCACACTGGAGAATCAGCTGGTGATCCTTGGAACATCAGTGACCGACGCAGGAGGTTATTATGTCCAGGCAGTCAATGAAAAGAATGGGGAGAACAAGACAAGTCCCTTTATTCATCTCAACGTAGCAAGTGAGTATCCAAATTGTGGATAATATGCTCTCACACTGAGGCTGCAGACAGGATTCACAAAGGCTGCCCTAATAAAAAGAGCCTTGCTAACAAAGGATTGGACCTCTAAAGGAGGTCAGCTTGGTTTGGAGCACACTGAACTCCTTGTGTAGTAAGAGGGACCTAAGAGAGTGTATGACCTCGACAAATCACCCTCAGAACCTTTTGTCTGGTGGTTTATTTTGTGCCAGGCAGGTACATGGTGATATTCCTCACTGTTTATTGTGAAGTTGTGATTATAATTTCTTTTTAATGCAGGGGTTTATAATGTGTTGTTTTCCATTGTGAGTAAGTAAACAAGTCACTCTTCTGAGTGCAAATTTATTTATGAATCTATTCCCAGTCTATGGCATTGTTTTTACCTGGAGTTATCACAGAGTCCCAGGGAACATGCATTTCATTGTTATTACTTATTATTTTACATTACACAAATTGTATTAACACCACCATTACAGAGGTATTTCAGGAGTGGCTTTTGCAGCAAAGTGGAGGGAAAAGCAGCAGAGCCCTGGGGTCAGAGAGATGACTGCACACTAAATATGCTGATGTGCACGTTCAGCAAAAGTGTACATGTGTAAACGACTGGAAAACATTTAGTAAACGTGTTTGTATGAAAAATTAATATTCTAAATGTGTAGAATGGTTTGACTCCTTTTCTGAGCCATTTGACAAAGGTATTTTTAATGTAGCAGGGAGATAGGGAGTGTGTTGTTCTGCTGTGGGGACAGAGAGGTTTGTAGTTCTGATTGTGGAGACAAGGAAGAGCTGATGGGGTACATTGTTGATGACAGTGGCAGCTTCACTGACAGGCTGCTCTTGTGGTTTGGGCTTTGAAAAGATGCAGGACTCAGCTCTAGATCACTTGGCATGATGAGATGCCAGACATGTCTTCATCTTGGGTACCATTAGATTTGGGACAATCCCTGTTGGCTCACTTCCTTACAACAGCAAAACGTGGGAGTCTGGGTTTCTGGGCAGGAAATCTGGCAAATTGGTTTTGCAACTATGCTTATGTTTGTCAGAAGTTCATCTAAAACATTATGGTCCTGTGAAACATTTAATTTTTTAGAAAATGTGATTCTTCTGCTGAAATTCCTGATGGGATTTCAAGGAAAACCATTCTTGCCCAGGCAGTGGAAGTGCTGGTTGTGGGACTGGGATAACTGGGGGCAGCAGCTGGATGGTTTGACAGGCAGGAATGACAAACCTTTGTTTTTTTCTTCTGGATAAGTATCTAAACTAAATTAACTGCTCAGGGGGTTTATGTATATTTTTCTGAAGTGGAAATAATATTCCAAATCCACTTGTGAATTCTGCCTGTACTGTGGCATGTAGATTGTAAGCATTATTATTTCTGACAGTATGAAGAGGTTTGCTAACACTTTAGTAATTTCATTTTTAAAGAAAATTTGTATTGTTTGTATTATGTGACCAATAACATACTTCCCACTATAATTTCATATCTTAATTAATGCTAGAAATAGTCTGTGATCATGCATGCATAACAAGTGCTATGCAAAGCATAGTACAGCCATATGGGAAAGAAAACACTCCAAAATGCTTACATTGATACCATGAATGCAAAGTCTATCTGGAATGTGGAAAATAGGAAGGATAAAATGGATAAAAGAAAAAGAAGGATGAGACAAGATGGAAAGCCAGAAATGGATTCGCTTTTAAAATTAATATCAGCCAACGAGGTTTTTAAATTGACACCTTGATATCCAGGATTATTAACACTGTGTGTTGAAGGAAGGCATTGGCTGTAAGGCATTAGAGTCTAAAGAAAATGGGATTAAACTGGTCAGTTTAAACTTTGATCTGGGGAAGAAACATGTGATCCATTACATGGAAGTGAATAAACCTTTTTGGTCCAGTAACAGAAAATAATCAGGCAAAAATATAGTCCTGAAGCAATATGCAGAGAATGGTTGCAGAAAAATGATATATTTTGGGAGACTAATAAAGAATTCAAGCAAGAGGTTGGAAACAGATTGTTAAAGGTACATCCAGGTGAGGAAGATACCACGTTGAATTGTCACTGTCTGCATCTTACTGGATGTTAGGAGTGATGACACTTGTAATTTTCCATTAGGACATGTATAAAATTTAAAACCAGTTTAACCAAAACGAAATGAACCACGAGTGAAGTGGAATATCCAATCTCTGTGCAAGTAGATTATATATTAATTATTGAGTTCAACCTTGCTCCATGACTCAGCTGCACATTTCCACTGTTATTGAGGGCAGGAGGAAAAAACCTCCGGATAATTCCCAGGGCAGTCATTCACTGAGAGCAGCGTTAGATATGCAGAGCTCGTTATTCCTTGAAGGAGACTGGTGTCAGATTTGCTCCAGCCTGGAAGAAAAGCACATTTGCAGAATCATTCTACCAGCTGAGAAAGCTGTAAGCTGTCCTGTTCTGCTCCAAAATACAAGACTGACAGCAGGAGAAAGGTCTGGCTCTGAGCTAAGCAGGAGAGGAGTTACAGGGCCTTATTTTGCAGGTTAAAGTCAGTGTTGAATCGTGGCTGAAGGTAAATGGAGCTTGAGCAACATCTGGAAAATACACTGAACTATCCTTCAATTAATAACTGTTTTCGATACATGTGGAATAAAAAGATTAGAGGGTGTTGAACATGTTTCAAAAACAATCTAAAAGCTCCAGTCACAATGAATTCTCTAGCAGGGCTCTGAGCATTAGTGGTAAAGACATTTTGTTTCATGTCAGTCTAACCTGAGATTAGCTCAGTTGGTTAGTGCTGATAACAAGGTTGTGGGTTTGATCCCTGTATGGGCCTTTTACTTAAGAGTTGGTGACTTGATGATCCTGGTGAGTCCCTTCCAGCTCAGAGTATTCTGTGAAACTGAGAACTCAAAGTCCCAACACCGTGAAGTCTTACACCCACCCATCGCCCGTGATTACAAACTTAACCCTGGAAAGCTGGGAAACAGCTTCCAAAGACAGCCTTCAGGTGCTTTTGCTGTGCTTGGGTTTGCTTTCTCTCTATGTTCTGAGGCTGTTCAGACATGGAAAATGAAGGCAACAGAGGGCCTGGGTGCAGTGAAAAGGATTAGCTCTTTGGGCCGTGTTGGTGTTTTCAGCATCACTGTGACGGTTCAGTCCATGCACACCCTCAGTGCAAAGGCACTGAAGTGCCTAAACTCCCCAGAAACACTCAAACAGAACAGAAAAAAATATGATACACGTTACTTTGCTGTAGGCCGCGCCGCTTTTACGTGAGCGTTTCTTTGGGAAGAAAGGGGGAGCTGCAAGCTCCTTAATGAAACCACAAGGATTTCTGGTGGAGAAGTCAAGAGTTTAAGTAGGTTTATTAGGAGGGGAAAATAATGAAAGATTCATAGGGAGCTTTTTATTACGGCGAGGAGCTGGCCGAGGTATTTACTGCGGTGAGCGCAATGCGTGTCCTTGTTCCTTTACGATGTGACACCACGGCCAGGCTCTGGTGCCACTTGAGGAGAAGTTTGCAAAGCCCTGCTGAGATGGTTCTATTATTAACATCAAAGCAATGCTGCCGCTGCGAGCGCCGCCGGCCCAGGCCTAGAAACTTTTAGCAGCCTTTGTGGCTACTTTTGAGGTATTCTATGAAAAATTGGAGCAAGTGTGCCTCAGTAAATGATTTAAATGGCAGGTTTGCAAAAGGTGGGTGTGTGTAAGCTGTTCTGACAGCTTAGATACTCCTGCCTCAATTGGTTTTGTGGCGCTAATCGTCTGGAACTGCAATTCAGGGCCTTGCTCCTGGACCTTCTTGTTAAGCTGTGAAATATTGAGATGCATGTCGCCTCAATAGATTTATTAGTAAATTAGATAGTCTCCAGACCTGTTGGTAACACTGGGAGATACAGAGTGTTCTGCAGCCTGATGTCATTTTCTGATGCAGGCTTTGTGAAAACAGAAAACAAGATTGATGAAAATTTTAAAAACCTTGCCAGCCAGCATTTCTGAAGAGTCAAAGATAATAAAGCCAATTATCATTTAACGAAGATAAATTTTTCCCTTGGGCACTGGCAATGCTTTTAAAAAAAAAATAAAAAAAGTTGGGGACTAAAAATTAAACTCCTGGCTTGGTTGTATTGCAATTAATTTAAAGTATGAGGGTGTCATGTTGTTCTGCCCAACTTCCTCTTGCAACCAGACGAATTTTATGTTGTTATGGCAGACATTGACATGAGGCTAAATAGACCCCATTTGTCTCTGGTTGGTGCCTATTTTGTTCTTCAATTTAATGCACCGAAATATAAATTTTACAGACAGGAAAAGTCCCATTTCAAGCTTGCAGGGACTGAATTTGCCCCTGAGTTCTTCTTTGGTTTGTTTTCTGTTATGAAGAAATGTTCTCATGATTGCACAAGATTGTTTAGGTCACTTTTAGTGTCTGTAAGAATTAAGTATTCTTTATGTTGTTAGGAAAGAGGTGGGGGGAAAGTGCCATATTACCTGTCAGTGTATTTGGTAGGATGTTCCTCTTGACATACTTCTGTCAGGTTTGGTAAGAAGATAAGTTTTCAGAAGATTCTGGGCAGACATTTTCCTCTCTGGAAGAGAGCATTTCACTAACATAATTCTTCATATTAACCGTCAGGGTTTGTTCAAGTCAGCAGATGTTGAGGATCCTTCATGGATACGTTTGAAGCGTTCTGCTGCATGAATTTTTCATAGCTAGTTCCAGCTTTCAGGTGTAGGCAGGAAAAAGGAAAAAAGGAATGGGCTGGCACCCCCAGGGAACAGATATTTCCATTCTGACGTCAAATGCACACAAGCTCTATAGACTTGTCAAGCTGGTTTTAGTTCATGCCAAGAGAATTTACTTCTCTCAGCCTCTCCAGGTCAGTGCTGTTGAGGTGAAATTAGTGCTTCAGTGATGCTTTTTTTTTTTTCTTTTCCCCTACTTTTTTGGGGTTTTTTTACCTGATTGCCTGAGGTTGTGACCAGATACTGG